ACAGATTCCCAGCCCCTTCCCTGGAGTTTCGAAATCAGTAGGTCTGAGGTGGGGATGGGGTATTTGCATTTTAGACACGCCCCCTGGGTGACTACTCCGATCCTGGCAGTGTGGGGAACACCGGTATAAGAGGTAGGAGGGAAGGACTCTGCGGTCTGAGTCCAAGATGCACAAAGATGCTCAAAACGGAAAACCAGGGTCTACGGAGAAGGGGTGAGAAGGCCCTCGACTCAGCTGCCGAGAGAGGCCAGGGCTTACACGGGACTCAGGGCCCTCGGGGGTGGGGACTGGAATGCCGGAGGGCTTCGCTGTCTCACCACTTGAAGACGAGGTTGAGCCACTCGGTGATGAGGCTGATCCAGAGCACCGCGACGCCCACGCGACGAGAGGCATAGTAGGCCGCGGGGAAGTAGAACAGAAAGAGGATCTTGGGATCGCCCAGAAAGGTGACCCACAGCCACACGCTCTCCAGCCAGGGCAGCTGGTTCTGCAGCGCCTCGGCCATGGCGATGCCCGCGCCCAGCGTGGACTCCATGGCGACCCGGCGGCCGGCCGGCCGGGGCTTGCTCAAGGGCGAAAGCCGGGGAGGCCAGGCGACGGCGAAGCGCCTCCAGCGTCTACCTGCACCCCTCCGAAGCCCACCCTGGCGAGCCCCAGGCCCCGCCCTCCCCGCGCGTGCTCGGTTCCAAGCCCCGCCCCCGGCCGTCCCAGCTCGTGCGCGCCACGCCCTCAGCCGCTGTTTCCTCCGGCGCCCGCCCCGCCTTCCTCCCTACGGGGCAGCGAAGGGGACAAACTTCTTCGAAGGCGTTTCCTCAGGGCCCCCACGTGGCCGCTGTTGCCTGCACGTGGGCAGCCGGCGAGTGGTGGCACCGCTGCGGTTCCGGGTCAGGGGGCTGACGGGCTGGCGGGCGGCGGCGCGCCTAGTGTCTCTGCTCTGCTGCTGCGGAGGCGGATGTGTAATCGCCGGACCCGGGATTCTTTCCAGACCGGACCTCTCCTCCACTACCGCGCTACCCACCAAAAAAAAAAAAAAAGAAAAAAGCCCAAATCCGAGCTCTCCTGGAGAGGAGGCTAGCGCACTCCCTCTTCCTGAGGGCTGAAGCGGGAGCTTACACCGCTAATCCGTGCACGCCCTCCTACCCAAGCCCAAGGCTCTCCCGCTTTAATTCATCCGATGTTAAATCGGAGACTGACAGATGTCTCTGATTTTGAGGGATCTTCCCTGAAGACGCAGATTTTCACATGCAGCGCAAAGTCACACTTTCTCCCAGTTCTAGCGTTGCCTCCCCCGCCCCCTTCCATCCTGCCATACCAAGTCCCCAGAGATAGTAAGTGTTGGTATGGGAAGAGGAGGGGCACACGCCAAGACAAAGTTTGGAACGCACAGAAAACAGAAAGCTCGGCTATTCTATAGCGAGGTCCTGCCTAGAAGGCTGTTGAAGAGGCTCCTCAGATTTCTTGCCGAGTCTTTGAAAGTTTGCCCTGGCTCTGGTCTCCACCTTCATCAGCTCACCCCTACACTCCGCTAAATAGTATTTCTGAGCTGCATTATGTTCCTTGAAATTGCCAAGTTCTCTCCTCCTAGGGATTCTGGCACATGTAGTGCCCTCTGCCCGGAGCATGGTCACCCTCTTCCTTGCTAATTCTTCAGGTCTTAGCTGAGATCTTTCACTTCCTCTAAGAAAGCCTTTTCTATCGGCTTCTCGAAGCTGTACTGGAACATCTATAATCACAATGCCACAAAAAAAGTGGGAAAGTGCAGTGGCGATTACGTTTGACCTGTTATGGGGGCCGGAAAAAGAATGAGAGACATGAAAGTTCTTCAAACAAGCATGAGGGAGCAAAATTTTTATTCCTGTTACAATGATTTTGTACCCCCAACACCAGGAAGTTTATGCTTCTTGCAGGACAAGGTAATACTTTTGAACTTTGTTCAGGTTAAGTAGTGCCAAGACTGGCTCTTTGCCTCCCTCTGGACTGGAGAAAGGTCAATCTGTTTGTCATAAATGAGGCTCCAAAGTCTGTATGTTGAGGGTTGATGGGTTAGGGATGGCAGTTGGTGGTGGTAGGGCTTGAAAATGCCTATCTGCACAGTACCTTACCTAAGGTTAAGAAAACAGTGTTTTCTGTATCACAGGGACATTAATGGGGGTCCACAACCCCTTCCCCAAGGCTCCCTCTGTCAGTATCACTGCTCTCCTTCCTGCCTTCTGCTTGGTTTTCTGGGGGAGAGGGCAAGGAGGGAGAAGGGGCAGTGTCTTGAGTTTCAAAGGTGATGGGTGATCATGAGGGCACTACCGCTTATTAAAGACCATGCATGTGTATACATTATCTCACCTAAACTTCCTAACTACTCTATGAGGTAGGAATTATTATCTCATATAGTATAGCAGTAAATAACACTGTCTTTGGAAACAGGGAGATCATTTGTTTGCTAGTTAATTGTGTGACTCTGGGCAAATTTGGTCTAAGACTTAGACATTACCTGTAAAATGAGGATATTGATTCCTACCCCCAAAGGGTTATTAGATGCTCAATAAGTGATAATACAGATGCCGATGAAGAAACAGGATCAAGTCGGGCTCGGTGGTTCAGCCTGTAATCCCGCGCCTTTGGGAGGCTGAGGTGAGTGGATTGCCTGAGCCCGCGGGTTCGGGACCCGCCTGGGCAACTTGGCAAGACCTCATCTCTACTATAAATCAAAAAATTTGGTAGCGCCCGCCTGTAGTTCCAGCTACTTGGAAGGCTGAGGCGGAAGGATCGCCGGAGCCCAGCAGGTCGAGGCTGCGGTGACCGGGAGCGGCCACTGCACTCCAGTCTGAGTGACAGAGTGAGACTCCAACTCAAAAAGAAAAGAAAAGAAAAGAAACAGGATCAGGTAATTTGCTCAAGGTCACAATAAATGGCAGATCTGGGATTTTGATTCCGGTTTATCTAGCTCTACAGCCAATGGTCTTTCCACTACCACTTTGTAATTCATTATAATCACCTTGAGCGAGTTTTCCTGAGTCCTCTGGGCCTCCGATTCCTCATCGTAAAATGGGGGTCATATCTATTATTTGATAAAGTTCATTCATTAATCTCTCGTGCGCAAGGTGTCCACGTATGAGGCTGCAGCTCCCCTTCCTTTCCCTGTCCCCCTTTTCATTCCAGGTAGTAGGCCATTTGTCCTTGACTTCGAAGCGGACCCCACAAGCACCGAAGGCGGCGGCCGCAGCAGCACACGCGCTCCCATCCAGACTCCTCTTCATTTCCTCTTCTAGCCGGGTCCACCTAGGCTCTCGCCCCACCCGGCGCCAGGCCACGCCCCGGCGTGTGACGCCAGCACGCTCCGTGCGTCGCGTCGCGGCGCTCACTGGGGGCCCGGCTTTCGCCCGCTGCTGCCGCCGCCGCCGCCGGCCGCGGCTGCTCTCCCAAGATGGCGGCTCCTCCGGGCGAGTACTTCAGCGTCGGGAGCCAGGTGTCGTGCCGGACGTGCCAGGAGCAGCGGCTGCAGGGCGAGGTGGTAGCCTTCGACTACCAGTCCAAAATGCTGGCTTTAAGTATCCTTCCCTGCGTGGAGCCCGAGGCCGGGCCGGCGTGTAGGTGCGGCGGTGGGGGGGTGGGGGACGTCGGCAGCGGCTGGGGCCCTCTCCGGGCCTAGGGGCGACCGGCTACCGCGGCGCCCGGGGCGCATGCGCGCGGCCCCGGGCTCCCCTCCCCCGCCCGCGGGCCCTTCGGTCAGCTTCGGGGACCCTGTCTGCCACCCCTTGCGGGAGCTGGGCCCCGGACGGGGGTCATTGGGCGGAGGGGCTCGTGACACGCGGATGGCTTTTCGGGAGGGACGCTGTGGGAGGGGGCCCAGGGATCAGCAGGGGGGGTGGTGGTTGGAGGGGGCTGGTGGATGGGAGCCCGGATGGAAAGGGGGAGCGAGGAAAACCTACCTTATGGGGAGGGGGCGTGTAGGGCGAGGAACTGCTGGGAGGGCAAAGGTGAGGAATTTGGAGGGAGTGTCTCCTGATGGGATTTGGCCTAAGAAAGAGCGGTGGGATGGGGACCCAGTCGGCCTTGCCTGTTTTGGGGAAGAGTTTGTGTCTGGACTCGGGGTAGGGGCTGGTTTCGCGGATGCGTGTGTATGCGTGGTGGGGTGGGGGGCTGTGCTGATGTGTGGCCTTCTCAGTTATTTGGAAACAGGGGGTGTTTGCATTGGAAGCCTGGGCCAGGGAGTGCTTGCCACGTTTTGCAGGGTCTTGTGTGGGTTACAGGTGAAACAGTGAGTTCTCGTTTTCTGTTGCTCAGTCCTGACTTTTCCATAGTGGTGGCCTTTTGAAAGTGGCAGTGTTAAAGTGAATGGAAAAGGTGGCCTGCTTCTTTGGGTGGAAGTGATTTCTGAATTACCCCAGGAAACTCAATCTTGGAAACAGCACTTCCTTGTTGGAATAAATGTGCCATGCTTCCCCTTTTATTTGAGCCACAGGTGGGTTTTTGTTTTTTTGGGTTTTTTTGAGGAGTAATCCTTATGGCATCTTTCAAAATGAAGCTTCCTACTGAGTCTGCTGACTTTGAATGGCAAGTATTTTAATTCATTTAACCACTAGTTGTAGATTTCTAGCTTAGGAAGATGTCTTCAGAAACTAATTACAGCAAGAATAGTTGCTCTCATTTTTTTTTTAATGAGAGGTTACACCTGGAGCAAACAAGACATTCTACATTAGTGGTTTAGTTGGAAGAGTCTTAGAACTAGGAATTACTCTATTTTTAATTGGCATACAGTAAATGGTTGAAGAATGAGTCTGTGAATGAATGAATGGATTAACTAGTCGGATCACCTTGAGTGGGTTTCCTTTCCAGTGTTGTAGTTTTCTTCTCTGCAAAATGGGAAAAAGTAAAAAGCGCACTATACAGATAGAGTATTATACGAAGAACAGAAAGTGCTGGCCCTATTGTGTGGTTCACAGATTCAAAACAGTCTACATAAGGCATCAACACTACATGGTGCCTCTGCATAAAACTAGTAGAGAAGGTGACAGAAACACTATGAGGCTTCCAATTTGGGGTCATGTTTGGGTTTGAAAAGCTTGAGATCTTTTGGTTGTGGGCTTGGGCACTAAGAAGGTGACAGGCTTCCTGAGGAGAGCTGTGGTTCTTGTAAGACCTTCTTTCTTGCTCCTGACATGCCTTTTACCAAGCCTTGGCGGAATCGTGTGTTCTGTGCCCCTTTTGGGATGTGTCAGTGCCTCTGCTTGCCCTGTTTTCCTTAACTTTATTTTCTCACCAGAATGTCCCTCTTCCAGTGGAAAGCCCAACCATGCAGACATCTTGCTCATAAACTTACAGTATGTTTCAGAAGTGGAAATAATTAATGACCGAACAGAAACCCCTCCTCCCCTAGCATCACTCAATGTTAGTAAGGTAAGGACTTGGACAGGTCTGGCTCTCTATGATGGTGGGAAACGGGTTGCATCGGCTCTTGGTGATACGTACATTGTCTGTTGTCTGTTTTTCAATTTCTTATTGATGTAAAATGATGTAAAATTGCTTGTTCTGTTACTTTAAAACATTATATCTGTTTAGCTTCCCTCTTTAGTCCTGGGTACCTTCAATAGATCTTAAGACATCTTAATGCCCAAATAGAGTTGAGAGCTTGCTTTTGTCCTTTGTGAAAAGGAACTTTAAAAAAAAAAAACTCTTAAGTTTTAAACTTGGAGTCCATATATGAACTTCTGGTGGCCGTGGGTTTGGGTGGTGGTGTTGCTCGTGAACCTTCTGAAACTG